TAATGTCCCTTCTTCTATTTCGAAATTCCTGTGCGTTTCCGAGTTATTTTGATTTTTAGTGTATGATGTAGTACTAAATTAAGTAATTTATTTATTATCAATTATCGGTTAAATATTTAATTCTTTCAACGAAACCTACCTAAATATGGTTTGTTAAGGATTCTAAAAAGCCGAAATCTCTTATTCTTTATCTCTTTCCAATGTAGTCAAAATAAATATTTGTTATATTCAAATACAATACATACAAATACATACTTAAAAATTCGAAAAAAAAAAAATTATATTCAACACCCTGTATCTCGAAAACGAAGCGTTCTACAACATATGTTTATAGGAACTTTTCCTTTTAGAAACATGTGTTCTATCTCCTGTTAAAGTTTGTCTACAAAAAACTGACTCACCCTGAATAAATTACTTAATTTAGTACCACATCAAACACTAAAAATCAAAATAACTCGGAAACGCACACGAATTTCGAAATAGAAGAAGGAACATTATTTTTGTTAAACTGTATGTAGATAATGAAAATAACAGTTTTTTAAAAAAATAGTCATTGGTGTAGAAGTTCTGTTTAAGAAAGGGGTTGAGCACCCCCTCCACTCCGCCACTGTGCAAATTTTTGAACATTCTTATCGCTTGTTTTATGCCCTTTAATTAATAGGCATTATCCCCCAAACATGGAAAAAATCTAAGCACTCGTTTATAAGTTATAATGAAAATTCGAGAAAAAAAAATTATATTCAACACCCTGTATCTCGGAAAAGAAGCGTTCTACGACATATGTTTATAGGAACTTTTCTTTTTAAAAATATGTGTTCTATCTCCTGTTAAAGTTTGTCTACAAAAAACTGACTCACCCTGTATAGTTCAGCCTTATAATTGACACATACTATAAAATTTGTGGAATATAACAAACTTTATTAAATCAATTCAGGCAATTCTTGTTGATTTACAAGTCAACCGTTAATGTATCACAAGATTTGTAATTGTTAATAGAATATACAAAAATATTAAATTTTCAGTGCCTGTATTTCTCAAGATTAACATACAAGTAGTATTTCTAGTAATTTTAAATGAAGTATTAAGAATCACCGTTTACGCTAATCGAAATAGATCGTGAGTTATTTGCATGTATACTCTAGTTCTATCTACATTTTGGATTTCATTTTACTTTCTTTAACAAGCGGTTTTAATTATTTTTGATTCCTTGTAGAATCTTATGACGATTAAAGTAATTAAAGTAGATGTTAGATAAAAGTAAGCCAGACAAGCTTGCTGTAGTTATTTCCGTGGCTATGGGAACATGTAGGGGAGTTATTTAGTCCTGTAATAGGTAACTAGATACTCAAAGGTGTTTCCGCCTGTTGGTCTTGCCAACCTAAACCGATTATTACTACATGCATGATTACAGTCTGAAACACTCAGGTGTCATCAAGTACGTGGACCTCAGCAGCGGTGCATTGATTTTGCTTATCCTTAATGCTAGATTGCACAGGGATTATGTTCCTTTTGGTTCACAGACTTTTGACAAAAACGGGGGAGGGGAGAACGGGAGAAGGGAAATTTGAGATTATGTTGTAAATAACTATTAGAAAGAAATATACGAAGGGTCGAAATTTTGATGAACCGATCTGATAATTCTATTGATAGGTCGTGAACTCGTCGGGTATGACAGAAGGGCCATCCTTGGAAATTAGCTGATACATTTCAGACAAATCTCTGCGAATAAGTAATTAATATTGTAGATCGTGTGCAAATATAACAAGAATTATATTCAATATATATGTTATTAAGGCTGCTTTTCATCAGGTATCCAACGTAAAACTGCAAATCGATCCTAAAACTTTTTCTATAAATGTTAACAAACAAAGGAAAACAATGGTCTTATTTTAAATATAATGCGGATTTAGTAGGTTGAATTATGGACAGATCTGATGGCTGCATTATTTTATTAATACGAAAAGTAACTTTTCTACGACCATGTAGAAAGTTTGAATTTCTAATAAGCGAAGTATTGTAGAAAGTGGCCTTTTACAGTACTTCGTGTGGAAAAAGTTATTTTTCACATTAATGTCGAAAATACGAATAAAATATCGATGTAATCTAAATTTTATTTACATTTTAATATTTACATTAATTTCACAAAAGTGACAACTATTAAAATTTAAGCCTATAACGGTCAGTTTTTTAAAATAAATAATTTGTACTACATTCCTTATATTATATGGAGATGACTTGATTTATCATTTAAATTTCAAATTCGAATAGAATAGTTTAACCAAACCTTAATGTATTAGCTATTTAGCGCGCCGCTACTGTGCGGGAGACAAAAAGTATTTACGCAGCGTTGCCATCTCGCTCACTCAGGAACGGTGATACTTTCAGCTGAAGAGGCGAAAAGCGGGAAACAGGCTCGAGCTAAGCTTGAGACATGATCGAGAGTGGAGCTGTGTGGTTAAAATTTCGTTTAAGCTTGGTAACGTTGCGTTGGTGTTGTTGAAAAGGCGATGCTACTTGTGGAAGTAGCTGAGCTTCTTGGAGTTCCTTTAGGCCCAGGACGTATATTTGGCATAGGAGTAACATGTAAGACTGTTTAATTATATTGTCTTCTCGAAGAGAAATATGTAAATGCAGAAAAGTTTAACTTCAAACACGCTAGGTACCTAGGCACCACCACCCATTGACTGGTAAGACTGAGTGTCTCGCGTGTGAACAATAAATTTTTTAAAAGATTTGCAAATCAGCCCCGTGCATTGAAACTAAATTCGTTTAATGTATTTTTCATTTATTTGTGCTTGATTATCATTGACTATTTAAATAGCTACACATTTTTACCATCTTATAATGCAAGCCCGTTGTTTTTAAGTTAAGAAAAAACATCATATTTTAAACATTAAAAATGGTGGCACCCAAACAATAAATAAATGAGTTGGTTTTACGTTTTTGTACAGTTTGTATAGGACTTGTCTGACTTTGTTCTTATCTTATCTAGTTGTAAGTTGATTTGATTTATTTGGTTAATCACTTTGCTTCCCCGCCCAGAGAAGAGAGTCGTAAATATTGCTTATTTTGAATAAATGTATTTTGCTATTAAATTTTTGTTTCATTTGATAAAATTTAATTTAAGTATTTTAGTGATAAGGGACATACGTTATAAGCCTGTAACATATGATTCTAAAAAAGTATGATTTGACGGTACTTGGGGCTCCACATCTCCAATAATTTTTTACGATATAGCAACTTTACTTTGAATGGAATCACCAACATATCCTTCGTCTACCTCATGAAAATATTTCTTTGGGTGTATAACCGATTGATTTGCGCCTTATAAAAGACATTATCTTTAGAAATCTTCCATAATCGATATTGTCATCGATAGCCAGTGTTGTTTTTAGTATTTTATTTAAAGTCATACCATTATTTTCGTGTTTGGTTATTTATCGATAAAAAAGTTTAAGAGCGAGTTATAGACTTCGTTGAAGACCTGAAACGCCGTCTTTTAAGAGAATGCATGTTTCACCTCCATAAAAATTATTTTATGTAATCAAAACTTTAGATGTGTACATTAACATTATTCTTTGAAATTATTATCCACTTTCATTCTAAACAGGCTTACCATTAAACCGGAAGTGGAACATTTAATAATATGGTAATTTTATTGTATAACATTTTAAATTATTTATGTAGGGTCGCACAAAAAAATCTTTAGATTAAAATTAAGCAGTCCTGACTTTTTACAAAACGTGTACGATTTTGATTAACTGATAGGGACATTTAAAGTCTAGTTTTAAATAAATTGATAATGATGATAATATTTATCATAAATAATTGACAAACTTTATATTTCAAAATACTACATCAAGCGTTTTAAACCAAATGCTCGAAATTATAACCTGGACCTGAAAAATCGTAACTTCTAAAAAGCTCAGTAAATCAAAGTTTGAACCAGTCTTAAATTGATCTTAAATTTGAGCTCAGGCTTGACATTTGAGACTCATTTAGAAATATTTTTTATATTTTTATTAAATTTTAGTGATGGAAATTTACATTTTGATCGATGTTGTATGACACGATTTCCTAAAATGTCAGCTTTTGAATTCTCGTTAAAAATCAAAACATATTAATTATTAAAATTTATTAATATTATTTGAAAAATTCCAAGAGACTTCAACGTTAGATCAAGAAGAAAACCATACTATCCTTAGATTATAAATGGTGTTTACACGGAAAGAAAACTATTCTGTATCATGGTAATCGATTATTATTGAATTTTTATACTTGTCACTAGAAAAATATTATTTGGCATAATAAATTATTATTGTTTCAATAATATAATATACCAATTGTAAACCAAGAACAGATATATTTTTGGGTTTTATTAGTGCCACTCAATATAAGTTTGATTTCTTCGAAGTATAAGTATGTATTAAATATACTCTTAATAGTATACTTTTTTCGAGTGCTGTTAACCGTGAGAGTAAGTATAAGGACATCTTGAAGTAAATTCTTATTTAAATGTTTTTCTTGACATAAGAATACTACTCATGAAATAAAATGACAAATAACCCTGCTGGAAGAATTATACATACTAATAATCCAATTACTGTTGTCCTTGATTGATTACTTGCTAATCTCAATGTGAAGTGTTCTAATATTGGAACAAGTAAATCGCGCAGTGGTGGGAGGTAGAAAGCTATGCCTTTGCCAAACAAAGACGACATGACATACCTTACATACTACGTATCGAAGTATGTGTGCTGTACTATCGAGCATGTTCTTGTTCATATATGTTGATTATTATTAAATAATTTATATTTGTAAAGTTACACTTGGAAAAGAAGTATATGAACATTATGAACTGTACTATTATTCTATAAATTTATTTAAATTATTATTACTACTATTTGTACAAATATAAACAAAGTTCCATACTTTCCTTTTATCTTGTATTTGTTTATAGATGTGATAAAATCAACGTCGCTGCCAGCTGGGTTCAATATGGGTGCATAGCTGAGATAGTAGAGCCAAAGTTTACTTATTTATTCTGTAAACTTTGGTAGAGCGCTCGCTTAGCATGCGAGAGGTACCGGGATCGATGCCCGGCGCTTCCAGTTTCTTCTGTTTATGGCTATTTTTAAATGATTTAAGTATTTTTTTAACATATTCTTGTTTTCAGAGTATCGACTAAGCTATAAAGAATATTTACTTAAAAGGTGCAGTAAAATTAATAATGCTCCACAGAAGACTTTTAACTTGAAAAGTTTCAAAGTTCTGAAAGCATCTCCACACTGCTTTATGATTAACCCATAAAACCGCACTTTCAATTTTGTAGAACACTTTAACCAAGTCAGTCGTTATTATAATATATTTTAACTCGGCATTATTTATAAGGACTAAAACAGAAGATTAAGTAGATGGGTAAGCAAAGACGCGTCTACCTTAAAATTCAAAACAATATAACACTACATAATAATGCCACAAAGGCCGCACAGGTACTCCATTACAACAGTTATCCAAAGTTTCAAGATAAAACAAACATGAATAGTTTCGGTTATGCAACACCCAAGGTAATATGGAACAAGGTTAGACACAACATCTATTTGTCTACAGGACAGTTAATCATCGTTAGGAAAATTACGCAGATATATAAAACATTACAACTGACATAGTTCAACCGATAGTGCAATATGGACAAATGGCTTAACAGATATCATTAGTTGTGACGTCACGACATATGCAACTTGCATTACATGACGTATTCACAAAACCATTACATTTTTTCGTATCGACTATGATTCTTATACACTGTATCCATTTGAAAAAGAGGGTGGATATCGTTTTCTTTAAAACTATGAAAAATTTAAAAATTCTGTTAGACTTGTTCTAAGGGGGAACTTCACGGGCGATGTCTCGACATTCCTAAGTGTTCCTATTGTTAAGATCTTCAATACCCCAGTCGGTGTCTTGTAAATGGTCTCACAGAAAACATCAAGGGGAGATAAATCAGGGGAGAGAGAAGGCCATTCTATGGACAATATTCTGCTTATCTATCTGTCTGGAAACCTTGAATTTAACTATTATCTTACCTGTAAGATATAGCGGAGCATCATATTGTTGGAAAATCAGTTCATCTTCATTAATTAGCGGAGTACCATCTGCATCTTGCTGATTTTCTACACTTTCCGTGAGTAACGAGTAAATGGTATTTTCTAAAATATTCAAGTTGCATAGTTCTATAAGACTTTCAATAATGAAACGAGGACCAATCTCTGAATTTCTCAAAATACCTGGCCCAAACATTTATTCTCTCCGATTTTTGTGTGTGGATTTCACGGATATTCAATATTCCAGTGTCTGCAATTCTGTCTATTGACAAATCTGTAAAGATATAAGGTACACTCATGGCTAAAGCAGGTATTTATTGCAGAAATTTCGTGCCCATTAATATTTTCTGTCACGATTTCGCAGATCAGCACTCGTCAATCAAAATTATCTTCGCATAATTCTTAGACGGGAATCATCTTGTATGGATGAAATGTGTGTTTCAAGGTTTTGTACACCGCACCAACAAAAACATTCGTTCCACAAGCAACTTTTCTCATTGAAGCATTGCTAAAGTTGCCAAGAATTCCATTTTGAGTAACTGCGTCCAACACTTTAAATGAATTCATTTTGTTATTTTCAACATTCCCAGTTTTTAAAAATATCCATACCAAACAAGTCACATATGGATGAGCAACATTTTTGTTACCATGTCTTAAATTAAATTCGGAAGTAGTTCATCTAGCACATTATTTTTGCCATACAAAATGACTATTTCGGTTCTCTCCGCTAATGCACCAAAAAAGTTCCCCCTTGGAACTAAAGATCGACATATTTTGGCGAATTTTAAAATTTTTTATAGTTTAAAAAAAACGGTGGACAGTTTTCAAATTAACACAGTGCATATTGTGTCAATAAGAGCCAAAATAAACAGAGCTGAACATTGATGCTGTTTCTACACTTTATTAATATACAACGTGTTTCAATGATGTCACGACAAACTTCGAGAGGCGATTCCTCTCATCAAAAAAAGAAAAGAAAGGCAAACACATCTTACAATTAATTAATGAATTAATAAAGAATTACGTTTACAAAGACAACTCAAGTCACTCATGTTAATAGTGCTCAAGACCGCTAAATTTTTATTTTTTTCTTGTGAATGGCATGATGTACGAAAAAACTGAAGGGGGGACAAAAGTTTTAGTTAAAGATGGTACATTCAAATCAACAAAACAAAAATCCGTTCGGTTGCAAATAACTTTTTTATGTAAGATTCTATCACCCCAACCCGCCATATTTCCAATGCCACTGGTTACTTTTTGATGAAACTTTTCACGTACTTGGCTATTATGATTACAATTTTCCCTGCCAAATTTAAAGTCAGTATTTTCAACAATCACTGAGTAATTATTTAAAAAGCTTGTTTGTTATACTTTCAAAGCGTCGCGAGAGCGCTTAAAAAGCATTTTAGGAAAAAAAAATCTTTCTTCTTTGCTTCTTTTGAAGACAGGAATCACCCAAGTTGCTTGTTGAACGAAGATTTCTGTTGGTGCGGTATACGAAACCTTGAAACACACATTTCATCCATACAAAATGCTTCCCGTCCAAAAATTATGCGAAGGTAATTTTGATCGATAAGTGCAGATCTGAGAAATCGTGACTGAAAAAATTAATGGGCACGAAATGTCTGCAACAAATATCTGCTTTAGCGATGAGTGTAATTTCTATCTTTACAAATTTGTCAATAGATAGAAGACAGACACTGGAGTACTGAAAATCCGTGAAGTCCACACACACAAACCAGAGAGAATAAATGTTTGGGCCAGGTATTTTGAGAAATTCAGTGATTGGTCCTCGTTTCATTATTGAAAGTTGTATAGAACTATGCTACCTGGATATTTTAGAAAATACCATTGATCCGTTACTCACGGAAAGCAAGATGCAGATGGTATTCCGCTAATTAATGAAGATGAAGTGATTTTCCAAGAAGATGATGCTCCGCTACATTACATCTTACCGGTAAGGTGGTGGTTAACTGCAAGGTTTCCAGACAGAGGGATGGCAGAATATGGTCCATAGAATGGCTTACTCTCTCCCCTGATTTATCTCCCCTTGATGTTTTTCTGTGAGGCCATTTGAAATCAATTTTTTACAAGACACCGACTAGGGTATTGAAGATCTCAATAATAGGTAAACTCAAGAATGTCGAGACATCGCCCGTGAAATTTTTGTTAAAATAAGATCAGGATTTGAACAAAGACTGTATCACTGCCTTGGCACCAGCAGCGATGCCCACTTTAATGAAATAATAGCACAATTTTAGTTAACAAAATTTAAATGCATGCTTACTATTAAAGTTGTTGTCAAAATTCAGTCATATGTTTTTTTACCCATAACTGCCCCAAATCAACCGATGCCAAAAACTGCGAAATCGTGGTATTTGCGATAGAGTTAGCTTTGAAATGATGACTAGTGAGGTGGGTCCATTTAATATTTTAAATTTTTTATAGTTTTAAAGAAAAAAGATGGTGGACAGTTTTCAAATGAACACAGTGTATAAGGATCATTGTCGAATATGTAAAAATGTAAAATAAGTTAAGTTTAATGATCGGGGAGCAGAATCAGGGAAATAATTATCTTTCCAAATCAACATTATTCCATTCGGATGCGCAAAAGAGGATCTATTCCTTGACCTACAAGAAGTGCAGAAGTAAATCCGTCACACTATCTCCTTTGGAGAAGTTTGAAGGATAAAATTTATAAATTGAACTTACTAGGACACTTATTTTAGTTACGAAAAATTATATTAATCATATAAATAATGATGAGGTTGTTTTGGGAGAGTTCGTTGTAACTTTATTAAACCATGCCATATTTGTGTGGCAAGCAATGAAAATTAACAGAAAACTTTCTTTGAAATTTCTATTAGTTACGTTACTTTAGTTATTATTTATTTTTGGACCACTTATAGTGTTATTGGTATCACCCTGTAAAATGTACACTTGATTTAAAAAAAAAACTGGTACACTTTCTTTTAGCTATGTAAATCATTCGTTCTTTGATTGATATTAATAATCTTACAAATGTCACTTTGACGTTAATCAGTGGCGTCATTATTAAAAATGGTTCGACATCTAACAGATATTCAAAAATTTCGAATTGTTTCTAAAATTGAAGATGGTTGGTCCATAAGAAGACTTGCTGCTGAATACAATGTGAGTAAAACCACGATAATGAGTGTTAAAAAACAATGGGAAACCAACCAAACGATATACCGTAAAGTTGGTTCTGGTAGGCCCAGAAAGAGCAATAATCAAGAAGATGAAAATCTTATAAAGTACCTAATAGAAAACCCTTTTCAGACTGCAGTAATTGCAATTTCAGAGACAAATTTCCCTGCTTCGGTATCTACTGCTTGCAGAAGAATAAAACTACAAAGCGATTTGAAGAGTTGTTCAGAGGCTAAAAAATACAAACTTTCAGAAGAAAAGAAGCAGGGTAGGATTATTTTTGCACTCAACTATATAATCAATGATGAAAACTTCTGGGGACAAGTTGTCTTTTCTGATGAAAAGGTTTTTAAATCCTGTGACGATGGACATGTTCGCGTATATAGGCCTCCTTCCACTAGATATGACGAAAAATACACTTTCGATCCACAAATATCAGGAAGGTTTTCAGTCAATGTCTGGGCTTGGATGAGCCTAAATGGGTTAGGTGTGTGTTGGAACAGTGGTGGTCATCTCAATTCCATTAAATATATTGAAATATTAGACAATATTATGTTGCCGTCAGTAATAGAGGTGTTTTCGGAAAATAATTTTATTTTCCAACAAGACAACTACTCCATACATACGGCTCATCATGTCAGGCAATGGTTTCTTAATAAAAACATAGAGTTGTTACCGTGGCCATCTAAAAGTCCGGATTTAAATCCAATTGAAAATGTATGGGGACTAATGGTGAATCATATAAGAAAATTAAATAACCATCCAAATAATGCCCAAGAATTGGAAGGGATAATTGAAGACGCTTGGGAGAACTTGTCGCAAGAAGTTGACCTTGCAAG